TTTTTTTTTTAGAATATTAGTTCAATTCATAAGCAGAATGAATAAGAACAACTGAAGTTGTCTATCATTTTTAATCTAACAAATTTTATCGTCAGACAATATATTTAGTATTAAATAATTTTAAGCTTGCGCAATGAAACACTACTGTCTAGTTGTGAAAATTTAGGTTTTTCCTTATTCAGAAACAGCATCTCCGCGAAAGCCTCAAAATCATTACCAGTTTGAGGTAAATGTTTACAAATTATTCATATACACACACACACACAGTAGTTGCTTTAGATGCTATCTTAGAAGATCAAATGTTTACAAGCAGTAATAATTAAATGTAGATTTTTTTTTTTTTTGCAGAATATTATTCGAGGTACCAGACCGACTAGGTCATCATTACGAAGACCAAAGTCGCCGTCGACATCAAAAGACCGAAAAAGCTTTCAGGCCTAAAAGGCACAACTATTGATTCCTGCCAAAATGAAAAAGAAAAGAAAAAAAAAGGAGAGAGAAGGAACCTTTTCTGTTGTTGTGTTCTAAAATAATGTTGTAATGCAGTGTATTGGTTGTTATATTATAATATTATTATTGTCAGTTATCATTATTATTATTATTATTTTTATTATTACTTTATAAATAAATTATAATGCTTGATTTTTTTTTTTTACAACAATAAATCCGACTACAAAATATTGGTGTCCTCTTATACACTTCACCTAATCATCATCAGTTCCTCTCTCTTCTTCTGCTTTTCCTCCTTTCGCAATTTTTTTTTGACTCTTTTAAGTTTTTGCTTCTTATTTAGTTCAATTGCTTAGCAATTGTCATTCTTCGGTTGACCAGTCAGATTAAACAATAAATGAAAAAAAAATACTTGACTTTTTCATCTTATATTTAGCTAAACCTTAGATTACCAAAAAAAAAAAATTTTACTGTTCTGTTTCTTCTTACTGCTTTCCAATTTATTAAACAATGCTTTGTGAAATTACTTCCAATATATTCCAAGTATTTTCTGGTTACCTAATTGCCTGCAATGCTTAATAACTGAACCAAAATATACCACTATGCAAAGCGTATTGAATTCAAAAAAAACTGCTCAGGAAGTAAAGTTGTACTTATGTTGACGTCTCAAAATGTTATTAACAATGAAATGGTGACAACTGAAATATTTTGTT